ACACAGCTCGGAACACATAGTACAATTACAGATGGTAGCAAAAAAGGATGCACTATGTTTACTTTTATTCAAACTTAGGAAAGTTTGAGGAAATAAATGAAGGTGTTAGTAGAGACAAGAGAACACATGCTCATATAATGAGTTGGTAAAATTCTCTGTCTTAAGTGTGAAAACATACTTTGATCACCTAAACTTATAATAAATGGCTTTTTATTTCTTCTTTTTTTACATTTGTTTTTCCTTTCAGCAATTTTCCCTGTCTTACAAAGATTCTCCATTCTTACATCATCAGTCAAAGAAAATTCTCCTTTTGTGAAACAGCAAATGTTGGTTGAAAGCAACAAATAACCCCAGGATTCAACCTCTAAATTGTGTTAAGAAGAAACTGTCATTATTATGTACTGTAAAACCAAAGTGGTTTAGAAAATGAAGCAGATACTGTTCCAAAAGATCATCACCTATGTCATATGTTTTCTTGGGAAAAAAGACATGAATATCAAGAATTCTAACTCATGTGACCCTCTAATGTGGGTTGAGATTAAAACTTTAAAAGAGTGGCAATTATGATAAATAGTTATTTACAGGATAAAGTGGTCCTAGTCATGGGCTTCGCAGGTGACATTAGTGGTAAACAGCCTGCCTGCCAGTGCAGGAGATGCAAGGGGTGCAGTTTTGATCTCTGGGTCAGGAAGATCTCCTGGCGGAGAGCACGGCAACCCACCCCTGCATTCTTGCCTGGAAAATCTCATGGACAGAAGAGCCCGGCAGGCTACAGGCCATAAGGTCACAAAGAGCTGGACGTGACTGAAGCTCCTTAGCAGCCACACGGTCCTAGTAACAGAGAAGTGGAGCAGCGGGACGTTATCTCCCAGCTAATACACAAGCCCCCTGAAATTCCTAGAACAGCTGGGCAGCCATGCGGCTAAAATGGGCATCCTGTATCACCTGGCAGTTTGAATGACAGTGGCAACTCAGTGTTAAAAGAGTGGGGTTCAGAATCTTCCCCTCTCCATAGTGGCTGTATCAATTTACATTCTCACCAACATGGCAAGAGGGTTCCCTTTCCTCCACATCCTTTCCAGCATTTACTATTTGTAGATTTTTTTATGGTGACTAGGTGGGCTGCCATCTATGGGGTCGCACAGAGTCAGACACGACTGGAGCGACTTAGCAGCAGCATCATTCTGAAGAATATGAGGTGATATTTCATTGTAGTTTTATTTGCTTTTCTCTAATAACAAGAGATGTTGAGCGTCTTTTCATGTGTTTATTGGCCATCTGTATGTCTTTGGAGAGATATCTGTTTAGGTCTTCTGCTCATTTTCTGATTATTTTTCTGACATTGAGTTGAATGAGCTTATTGTATACTTTGGAGGTTAATCCCTTGTCAATATGGAGATTCCTTTAAAAAAAAAAAAAGACTAGGAATAAAACTGCCATATGACCCAGCAGTCTCACTACTGTGTATATACCCCAAGAAAACCATAATTGAAAAAGATACATTTACTCCAATGTTCATTGCAGCACTATTTACAATAGCCAGGACATGGAAGCAACCTAGATGTCCACTGAGAGACAAATAGGTAAAGAAATTTTGGTATTTATATAAATGGAGTATTTCTCAGCCATAAAAGGAACAAATCTGAGTCAGTTGAACTGAGGTGGATGAACCTAGATCCTGTTGTACAGAGTGAATGAAGTAAGTCAGAAAGAGAAAAACAAATACTGTATATTAACACATATATATGCAATCTAGAAAAATGGTACTGATGAACCTATTTGCATGGCAGGAATAGAGATGCAGATGTACAGAATGAACTTTTGGACACAGCAGGGGAAGGAGAGGGTGGGAAGAATTGAGAAAGTAGCCTTGAAACATACATTACTGTATGTAAACTAGATAGCCAATGGGAAGTTGTTGTATAATACGGGGAGCTCAAGCTGTTTCTCTGTGACATTCTAGAGGGGTAGAATGGGGAGGGGGTAAGTTTCAAGAGGGTGGGGCATATGTATACTTAAGGCTGATTCATGTTGTTGTACAGAGAAACCAGTACAACATTGTAAAGCAATTATCCTCTAATTTAAAATAAATTTAAAACAAAAAAGAGCATTGTCAAATCCACAGCATTGTTTGGGGAAGGTATAGCCCACTCTGCATTTCAGCAGACATCACATAGACTCCCATCATTTGTCAGGTAGTTGGTGAGGGGATGGCCTAGATTGGGGGCAGAATGTTGGACATACAACAGAAAGAGACAGAAGGCAGAGACAGAAGAAAAGGATGACCAATGTTGAAGAGAATTGAGTGCACTACGTAGGGAGATGCTGGAAGCCACTGAAAAAGTGGTTGAAGAGAGTTTCTTCCAAGTCAGAGACAGGAGGAAACAGCCTGTTGTCCTGTGGGAGCTCCCTTATAGAACAGTCTTCATCTAAACCAAATTGTCTTCTTTTCCCTTCAGGACACAGGAAGACTCACGGTGCTCCTAGGACAGAAAGAGTGTGAAGGTGAGGAAACCAAGACATACCTATGAAGAGAACCAAGCATACACTTCTTTATCTGCACAGATGAGATCTGCAACCAAGCTGTGAACTTGCAGTTCACCAACCTGTGCATAGTTTGTTTCAAATTTCTCACATACAAGCAGTGCCCTGCCCTCTAGTGTTGGCTGGGTGACCTGACATTCTACTTCCTGGAGAGAAAAGGGGCTGAAAGAAGAGTAGCTGAGATGGGGAGAACTCCACCTCGGCCTGATACCGTCATTTAATCTTTAGTGGCCATAGCTTCAAAGTCAGTGGGCAAGACTGCAGTCCTTTGTAGTGAATGGGGTGGACAGAGTGGAGGGCTTTCCCCAAAAGATTCAGTATTGCATTGGGGGTTTATGTGGGATATCACACACAAGATCTAACTGTATCCCCTCTCCTCTCTTTTGGGGCTGTGGTTCTGGAAACAGCTGCAGGGCTTTAGGAAGGTTCTGAAAAAATCTTGCCTCTAGCTCATCAATATCTTGGACAGCTTTACTTTTTTGAAACATGCTAAAGAAGTGTTATAAGTAAATGTAATTTCAATTTATGGTGTAGAAAATGTTTAAAAAAATTTTTTTGTCAATTGGCTTCTTCCTTTTATTTTTTTGTTGAAGTGTAGTTGACAAAGAATATATTACTTTCAGGTGTACAACTTAGTGATTCAACTTTTCAGTTCATTTCAGTTCAGTTCTCAGTTGTGTCCGACTCTTTGCGACCCCATGGACTGCAACACGCCAGACCTCCCTGTCCATCACCAACTCCTGGAGTTTACTCAAACTCATGTCCATTGAGTCGGTGCTGCAATCCAACTGTCTCATCCTCTGTTGTCCCCTTCTCTCTAGCCTTCAATATTTCCCAGCATCAGGGTCTTTTCAAATGAGTCAATTCTTCTCATCAGGTGGTCAAAGATTCACCTTTTATATATACATTAATTGATCACCACAATAAGTCTAGTAATCCTCTGTCACCATTAAGTATTGCAATATTATTGACAGTATTTACTGTTCATTATAGCTCTGTGACATTTACTTTATAACTGGAACTTTTTACCTGTTAATTCCCTTCATTTATTTGGCCCATTACTTCAAAGTGAAAGTGAAAGTTGCTCAGTCTTGTCTGACTCTTTGCGACCCCATGGACTATACAGTCCATGGAATTCTCCAGGCCAGAATACTGAAGTGGGTAGCCATTCCCTTCTCCAGGGGATCTTCCCATCCCAGGGATCGAACCCAGGTCTCCCACATTGCAGAAGGATTCTTTACCAGCTGAGGCACAAGAGAAGCCCATTACCTCAAACCCTCCCCTTTGGTGACCTTCTGTTCATTCTCTGTATCTTTGAATCTGTTTCTGTTTTTTGGTATTTGTTTTTTAAAGACTCCACATATAAGTGAAATCATACAGTATTTGTCCTTCTCTATGTGACTTATCTCACTTAGCATAATACCCTCTGTGCCCATACATTTTGCTGCAAATGGCAAGATTCTCTTTATTGTGGTTTAGTAATATTCCATTGTGTATGTATATACCACATCATCTCTATCCACACATCGATCAATGGATACCTAGCTTGCCTTTTGTATCTTATTATCTGCTCTCCCTTAACTTTATTTTAATTTTGGTCTCATATGATTTACCTCTTTTCCTCCTTAAACTTGCCTAAACTTTTCTTTTCCATTTTTATTTGCTGCGTTTGCTCTTACATTCTACTCTGAGAGGCACCCTGTGTGTGTGTGGAGAGAGGGGGAAGGCATGTGTGTCTTTATGTCAGTGTGTATTTGTGTATGTTCCTATGAGATAGCAGTGAAGATCACCCCTTTCAGGTTCCTCCTAGGGCACACACTGTGGCTGCTACCTTCCTTCATGCTGTTATGTATTGGGGTCTTCCTGGGGATCCAGTGAAAGAACAACAAAAAAAAAGAGCAAGTTGATTAAATCATTGTGTGTGTGTGTGTGTGTGTGTGTGTGTGTGTGTGTGTGTATTTTGTAATTTGGGGGATCTGTGTGTGTGTGTCTGTGTGTGACTGTGTGGGCAGGTATGTGTGGATGAAGATGTGTGTGTGTGTGTGTGTGTGTTTGTGTCTGTGAGTGTGTTTAAGAGCTTGGCTCCATGAGTGGGGTGCATCAGGCAGGGAGAATGAGTGAAGAATAGATAATCATGTTGGAACAGGAATAATAATAAAGAAATAACAACAAAATAAAGGCAATGTGGGTAGAGTCAGAGATTTAGATATGAATAATTTACTCTTTCAAGAAGGAAGTCCTGCTCTAACTCAGGCTGTCCAAAGTTACAGACTCTGGTGGTCTTGCCTACTCTCCCAATGCCAGCCTAGCAGTGCTTGTGAGTATACGCACACACACATGTTCCCGATGTCTCAGTCTTTTCTGACTGCAGCTCTCACAACCAGCCCTTGCTGTGGACAGTTTCTGCTTTACATGAAAGAACCTTGAAGGAAACTATCAGCCAATGACACATACAGTCAGCTGTTGAGTTAAACATATTTAATGGGGGCAGAGCAGGGAAGATTCACTCGATTCCCCCAACCCCAACATCTTTCTTCAGATGAGCCCTGAGCAGCCGGAAGACTAGCTCAGCCAGTGAGCTTTACAACCTGATTCAGAAGCTCAGGAACCTTCCAGACTGAATACGAGGGAAGCTTTTTACAGGGTACAAAGAAGGAGGGGTTATGATTCAGGGTGACAGCACACTAATTGCAAATGGGGCAACAGAAGCAGATGGGAAAGGAGATTCAGCCGCTGGTGGTCAATTCCTCAAGGGCATGGCTGTGGACCACATTACTTCTGCTTGGTCTTCTGCTGAGCTGGCCCTGGGACGACTGGTGAAGGACAGGGCTCTGGAACCTTGGGATGGCAGGGCTCCGGAACCTTGGGGTGGCACGGCTCCGGAACCTTGGGGTGGCATGGCTCTGGAACCTTGGGGTGGCAGGGCTCTGGAACCTTGGGGTGGCAGGGCTCCGGAACCTTGGGGTGGCATGGCTCAGGAACCTTGGGGTGGCAGGGCTCCGGAACCTTGGGGTGGCAGGGCTCTGGAACCTTGGTGTGGCATGGCTCCTTGGTTTGAGGGATGCATGGTTCCTGGGGAGGAGGCTGGCAGGGCTGTTTCACCTGATGCTGCTGAAGCTGTGGAGGTGGGATGCAGGGCTGCTTCTGCTGATGGGAACTCATCCTTCAAAGGAGGCTAGACCTAGAGACAGAAAAACTGACTCAATGATTTGATTAAACAGAGAAGAAATCGAGTTAAATGCCAAATAGTTTCATTTCAGGCCCCTTTAGAGGAGACAGTCTCTGTTCCTCCTAGCTAAATTTGATAGTTAAAATATGCTTTGACAATTTCTGAGTTTTTTCAAGAGGAGGAGCTTCAAGGCAAGTCATTTCTCTGCCATTTCAGGGGGATTCATTCCTCGGCTCCCTTTCTTCCTCAGACATGTCACATCCCTTATTGATAAACACCCAAGACCACATATTAAGTCATTTAGAAAGTGATGTTGTAGAAAGAACCACACTGTACACACCTCTAGTATCACACAGAACACCCTGTGACTTATTGTTTGAGTTTAGAGAGTCTAAGCTTCTCTGACTTTTCTCTGGCCTTTGTGTACACAGTCCTCTCTGAAATGCTTCCCTTCCCATCTCTGTGGGTCCAAATACTCCTCCATCATAGCTCACATCATGCGTCATTACCAGGAGCTCTTCTTGAGCTCCCCCAAACTGCCACTGCCTTTCCCTGACCCCTCTCTGATACCAGTCACTATCTACTTTAGATTTCATCTACTCGTGTGTACATGCATTATCTTCCCTGCTAGCTTGTAAGTTTGCTGAGTAAGTTCTGTGACCATTTGATCCCCGCCACAGTGCCTAGCACTGTGCCTTAAATATAATAAATATTCAGTAGAGGTCCATCTTATGAATTAAAATTTGTATAATAAGTTATCATAAACAGAGAATCATGGTGTTGCTAAGTGTGTCCTGAGTTCTAGTGATAACACTACCGCTAATTTACCTTGAGAACTTACAGATTGTCCTCCTTTCTGACCCCCAGTTCCATAGCTGTCCACTGAAGGGGCTACCTTCACCAGCTCTAATGTCCTTTCAAACACAAACCATGTTTCATTTACAATAAAGATAGCCCTTCTTCAGCCCTCTTATACATGTTTGCCTCTGTCCACTTTCCAACAATGAAAAAATAAAAATTTCAAATGGGTTCTAATCAGAGACTCACCTGGTACACAGAGAAGAACAGGTTGTCTGGTTGCTCCAGTCGGTTGTGAAGTCAACGGGCCAGCTGGCTTTTTATACAATGAATGAGCCCTGCCTCAAGGAAATACAATCGTCGGGGGCCCCTCTGTTTTCATTCCTTACCTGTCAAACATGATTCACCTGACTCCCCTCAATTATCAGTTGGCTCAGCTTTTGTGATGAAAACCACCCACTTGATATTCTTTGGCACTGGCTGCATGACAATGATGTCACCTGGGCCTAATTCCAATTGCCCCTCCCCCTTAGACCCAGAATAGGGTTGTTTGGGGGAGGGGTGAACCTCAGGCTTCCTGGAGCGTTTCATGAGCTAATCCTGAAGAAAGAACTGAGTCCTTTTGTGGTAGTGCCACTTTCTGCTGCCTTTTTCCTTGGGATGGCTGTTGCTCATGTGCTGTGGGATAGAACACATTTGAGCAGATGAACAAGTGGGAAAGGAAGGGGATCAGATGAGCTGAAGTGGTCACGTGCTGTCTGCCTTATAATGGTAGATGCAAGAGATCACGAAATTGACTGGTTATAGAGTCCTTGTCTGAAATGTCCTACACCCTTATGTTCACCCCCCTGTCCTTCTCCTAACTCCATTAAACTACACACATTTGGAATTACTTAATTATCACCCCCCCACCACCACCACCAACCTCACCCCTCTCTGACTGGTTGCTAATCTGGGTAAACCTGCTTTGCTTTCCCCAACCACACCTTCACCCCTCTCCTATTTCAGAGATTTTAAAGAGCTAATTCCTCTTCTGGGATAAACTTTTCTCTCCACTCCACCCAGCCTTCTGGACATGGCCCTGCCCTCTTTCCTAACACAACTCTATACCACCCCCACCTGAAACCCTGGTCGTCTTCTCTAACCACCTTTATCCCCAGTCCATTCATGGAGCCCTCCAGAATGAACACTTCCTCACCTCTTGCCCACTTCCTACTCCAGACCCAACACCTTGAGAATCTTGCTGGCTGCAATGGTTTCCTCCTCTCTCTGGCTCTGTATCTTTGGGGAGGATTTCTGGGCATCAGAAATGTGTCTGCTCAAAACAACAGTTGCTGTTGTTGTTCATTCTCTCAGTTGTATCCGGTTCTTTGTGACCCCATGGACTGCGGCACACCAGACTTCCCTGTCCTTCACCATCTCCCAGAGCTTGCTCAAACTCATGTCCAATCAGTTGGTTACACCATTTAACCATCTCATCCTCTGTTGTCCCCTTCTCCTGCTGCCTTCAATCTTTCCCAGCATCAGGGTCTTTTCTAATGAGTCAGCTCTTCACATCAGGTGGCCAAATTATTGGAGCTTCAGCTTCAGCATCAGTCCTTCCAATGAATATTCAGGACTGATTTCCTTTAGGATACACTGGTTGGATCTCTTTGCAGGCCAAGGAACCCTCATGAGTCTTCTCCAATATCACAGTTCAAAACCATCAATTCAACAGTGTTCCCATAGTAATATCTATATCCTCATTCATTCAATAAACATTGAACAAGTCCTTAATATACACCTGTTATGTCTCATTCTAGGAGCTTTCCCAGTATGAAGACCCCTTCCCCTCAGAGTAAGAACTCCCTAGGGTGAGGGTCACAGCCTAGTTCAGAGCTTCTAGTTTAATGGGTCTCTGAGATCTTCACTAGATCCACACTTCTCAAGTGATAAGAGTTTGAGGCTGTGAGAGGTGAAATAACTCACCCAAGATCAAACAAGAGACCCCAAGAGAAAACGAATTCTACACAGAAATCCTATGTTCATCTTTGTACTAACCCATCCTTGCTCCTAATGCCTACAGAGCAAATTAAGCTCAGGCAGGAAAATGACTAAAGGTGGAAAGGGGGAGCTCAGCCTTCCTGGCTTGGAGCTGGGCCCACTCAGAGTCCTGGGAAAGTATTGTGTGAGTGGCAGTGTGAGGTCAGGAAGAGCCTTGCCTTTTGAGTGAGCCCTTAATATTTGCTAAGATAAGTCCTCTTAAGTAGGGGGGAAAGCTGCTGAATGTTTAAAGTGGCTCTGGGGATAAACAGAAGGTATTTCCAGCATTGCTAAAAAATAGAAGGGGCATGAGTTAGCATAGGGCAAAGTAAGGGGCTCATCTAGTTTATCATTGCTCAGTGGCCTGGGTCTAAGAGAGGAAGAGAAAGGCTGAAATGCTTAAATGTCCATTTGAAGCATAGTTGTTTTCACGTTGGAGGAAGTCCCAGGGGCATAGTGACAGAACCTAGGTGCCCTTAACAGTAATAGCATTGAGTATAGCAGTAGATACTTCTGAGCATCTGCCCAGGCATAGCTTCCCTCCATGATGGTCGGATCCTAGAGTCTCCTCACCATGGGCTTCTCTTTCTGGGGACATAAGAGCAGGGATTCCCTGATTGTCCTTACACTGGCAATTTCCTCTGATGAATGCAACATGAAACTGAAGTCACTGCTTCCCTCAAAACACAATATGTTACTAGGTGTGGCCTTCGGAGAATCCTAGTCACCCTTAAACCCAGGTGTATAGATAGCTCCTCCTTCCTCTATCCCCAAACACAAACCTAAATGTTTATGGAGCACATGCTGGCTCCACAGGAGGTCATCTCTTATGACCCTGAGTCCTAGCTGGGCCTCCCACTGCGCGCCCGTCACCCTCGGTCCACATCCACCCATGGTGCCTGGCAAGTAGGGGCTGCTCAGTGGCTTGGTGACTATAGAATGACTGACTGACTGACTCAATGAATGGGTGAATGGATGAATGGCATAATCTGATTTCCGAGAAATGAATTGAAAGGGAGAGTTAGGGTTCAGCAAAGCTTAGGGACAGACAGCTTCCGCTGCCTTCTCCACCCAGTGTTCATGGTCAGCCAGTTTAATGATCTGTCTCCCTCTGGCCTGCTACCAGCACCATGATGACGGCCGAGCTCCTAGCCTCTCACCTCACTTTAACACTCCTCTGGGCTTGGGCCAGGTCCCTCTCTTCACCCAACCTCCTTCTCACAGGCTCCTGACATAGGGGGCTTGGGGCAGAATCTGTTGCTACATGTGGTAAGATTCTCAGGCCTGAGGAACCTGCTTCCTGCTCTCTGTCCTGTGGTATCGCCCAGCTTGTCTCAGGCTCTGGACGATCTGAACCCAGCTCTGGGTCTTGGCTCTGGATGTCAAAGAATTTCCCTGTTACCCAGTACCCCACCCTGACTGGGTTCTCCTGCCTGTCTTGACTTGTGCTTCCTGCGCTCCACCCCACACTGCTCTGGATCCCGACTCTGTAACTTTCCCTTGACCCCTGACATCATTTTCCCCATTTGTTCATTTGAAGCTCACCAGTGGTTGGTATTAAGTCAGTTCTCCCTTTCAAAGAAGGTCTGCTTTTTACCATCAGGGTTGGGTTAGCCAGTGAACCTGGCTCCATAAACTTCCCACACAAAGAAAGGGGAAACTGGGTGGTTTCTGATGGTGAATGCGTCTCTCAGAATTCCTTGACCTTTCACAGGAGGCTGCTGCTCCTCCGCAGTCAAAACCCTGCTCCCCTCGGGACCAGCTGGGGAATCTTTCCTCCACTAGCTAGCTCTGAGTGTGGAGCTAGTTCCTCACTTGTGTACAGAGCAAGGAAGGGGACCCCCAGACTTGTGAACACAGTGATCACACTCTCCCTTTTCTGACTGAGGTCACTCCCTCCTGCTTTCCTTCCCCAAGGCCCAGAGCACACAGGGACTGACTTGCCAAATTCAAAAGCCCATCATTTTACCACAGGAACCCATATTTAAAATATGGTAACATCTAGAAACATGTGAGAGTTTTACTGTCACCCTCCCCCTGACATTGTGAGGAGCTCAGGAGACCAGAATGTTGACCCCCACCCACCCACATTTCAGGCTCAGATGGTTAAAGGAAAACAAAGTCTATAACACACAGTGCCCCCATCTATAAAAGAAGAGAAGGAGACGAAGGACCAGACCTAGGTATTTAGAAGCCTCCTGGTTGCTTCGGCACAGGAGGCAACAGGAGCACTGGTTGCCGGCATGAATGCTGAGCTGGAGAGAGCGCGGAAGTCATAGTGCTGGCGAGCCTCTGCCCGGCCCAGTCTGCAGGGCGCAAGAGGGAGGTAGAATGTGGAAGGGACTTGGTCCAGGCCACACAGCCTCTTTCTTTATTGGAATCTAG